AATTCTGGGAGTTGAAGTCCACTCATCTTAAAGTGGCCAGGTTTGGACAACACTGCCTTAACAGCATGACCTCATTGGGGCAAGGGACGGTTCTGCAGAGAGAGCAAGTCTATGAGGCATAGCAGAGGCTTGGAATTCTATCCCTTTGGGGAAGAATTGAGGCCCTGGCTCCCTTGTTAGGCAGATAATGCCCCCCCCCAAAAAAACCACAACCCAGACAAAAAAAATTAAGTCCTGATGCAATCCAGCAATAAATTGAATATGCTCAGGCAGGATATGTTGAATTTCATACAAGCGGGTAAGATACAGCAGGATTCATAGAAAACTAAGCTTTGAATACATATATTTCTATATACATTTCTATTAAACAAAGTCACCCTGTTTCACTCTGCATATGTGACAAGCTGCTGTTGGTTCCTCATAGCAAGATGCTAAAGGTTTTACCCTGTTTCATTAGGGGCACTTTTTGGTAACAAGGAAGTTAGAGGCTGCGTCCACAGACCATGCTTAACTGAGTTACGGGAAATAACCCATTCTTTGGGTTTGCACAATACACTGAATCATTAACTAAACTGGGTTTGCACCACACAAAGCCACATCAACCCCCCCACACACACACTTAACCAAGGTTAACACAAACCAAGCTCAGCATGTTATGTGAATGCAACCACTTGGCCTTTAACTGACATGATTCAGCGGGATAACATAATGCACTGTCTTCTAAATGGGTTAGATCAAAACCCCAGAAGCACCACCAAGCAGGAAAGTCAACTGGAGTTTGGGGAATAGGAAGTATGGAGATTCTGAGCAAGCAACACTCAAGGGTCTTGGGCAAAGCTTTGCTAAAGCGTTAATAAAACTGATGTTTGCAGTGAGGACAGTGTTAGGTACAGCTGTTGCCTAACTCTAACGTTCTGCAATTGTAGAACAACTCTTATAAAGAGCATCACGTTTAGGAAGATTAATTTTTAGGCAAAAGAATGCTAAGACCCGTAGGCTATACATCAATATTATATCTACTAAAATGAATGTCATGCTCGTTTAACTGTCATGGATCCAAACCAAAGAACTTTGGAACTGTCATTTTGTGCACCAAATTCAGGATTAAGGGAGATGGGGGAATGACCCATTTTTTTAGTAGTCTCCTGCATCTACAATTTCCAGGGTTGTAACAGGAGTTAACATTCATTTCAACCTATCGAACATTTGCCATGCAACATCTATCCTTTTGAAACTTCCCACAAAAACTTCCTTTGGCAAATCATTTTTGTCCAGTACAGACATGCAAAATTCAAGAGTCTTGAATTTTGTTCTAATATTTGGGGAGTGGGGAAAGGGGCTATGTTCCTTCAAATGTAGAACAGTCATCCTGTGTTAAAATTACGAAGATAGAATAGAAGGGGGCAGGGGCCCTTCAGACAATGCTCACGTCCCCACTAGTGGTTTACAGTGTCTTCTAGAGTCATTCAGTCATTGTTGTGCCAAAATAATAGTAATGAGAACAGGTTTTATTTCACTCAGTGATGGCAGGGTGATGCTATGAAGACCCTTTAAATGACTAGTGGGGAAGTGCCCAACATAACGTTCTTCCACCCAATTTTTAGCTATTGTTTTTAGAGGTTTCTTCCTGTTTCTGCTGTAATTAGACCACTCAACTTATTTTGGTATTTGCTACACAAGAAAGCATCGTGGGCAAATAGCTTTGTATTAATAAGGTCTCGTTTTTGCAGAGGCCTGGGTTGAACTTTGATTCATGCCAGAATAAACTGGGGAAAAAATTATTAATCTGCCAGTGAGCTCAGAATATCTGTCTTGAGCATCAGAAGAAACCAGATACTGGATTTGTTCAAAACACACCCTGGAAATATTGTGTGTGTTGCCCTAATCCTCCAAGTTGTGCTACACTCACAGGATCTGTGAAGAATAGGGACCCGGGAACATAGAAGAAATGCATTAATACACGGATTGGGGGTACCGTATGTGTGTGTCCTACATGCTAATCGCACTGCCCATTAGAGAACAGTACAGGAAGCAGGAAACGCTACATCATTTAATAGCAACCATGCTGGGTATTTCTAGTGATTGTCTTTGCATCTAAACTCTTCAGCTTCTTTGCTTCTGTTGCCTCTAACACACTTGCTGAGGGAGTATAAAATGAGGCCATAAGCAAAGAATAAGAAATGCAAATCATGGAACAATGGAAGAGATCCCGACTCAGCAGGAAGGATTTGGTCTCACCTATTCGTTTGTGCATGCATCAGATTCAGTGGACTAGTTAAAGAAAGCTGATGCCGTAATTAACCAGTTTGTTTTCAAGGTGCTGTGGGACACTGGCGTGAATTCAAATTTGGTTAGGGCAAGAGCAGACCCACTGAAATCAAGGGGACACGTTGGCCATACAATGAACATTCAATAGGTTTTCTTCACCCAACTATGTTGGATTCAACTACTAACAGCCTAAGATGCTTTGTTTTCCAAGGGCCACTTTTATATATTCCAGTGCCCAGCAAAGCCAGGGAACAGGCTGTCCTCATAGGATGACAAAGTGGTTTTCTAAACATGGCTAGCCATTTTTAGCAGAGTTTCATGCCTCCCAACGGAGCCATTAGCATCGTATTTCAACATTTTGCATTTGCAACAAATGAATCTATAAAATAGAGTGTGTCTCTTTTTTCATACATCGTATATTGACATATGCAAAATGCACTGATCTGTTGGCAGGAAGTATTTTTAGACAGGTGGGGAGGGAGATGAGTATATGAATTCTTTTCCAGTATCGATCTATGCAGTTTTCCCCAGTGCAATGTGTTTCTCATGGAGAAACCATGAGCTAAGACAGAGTATGGAAAATGACAGCCTCTGCATGAACAGAAATGCAGATTCCACTAACTCACCTAAGAAGATTTAGAAATTCTTGAATCATAACTTTGCAAAGGAGAAGAAGCTTCATCTGTTTTGCATTCTCTTCAAATAAGATTTAACGCACTAGTGACACCCTGTTAAGCACTTTTCATCCTCCGCGTGGGGGCATCAAGGAATGTCGCACCATTGTGATGCACACTCTGCCCTTTTGTACGTGTGTGACATCATTTTGTCATTTGGACAAAAGCACTGTATCTTATGGGCAACTCTGTTTTCAATCTCATCTCTCTAAGTGACCAACTTTGCCAAAACTCCTAAAGGTTTTGCAACCCAAACTTAAAAAATAATAAAAGTCAGATTGTGTATGTGTGTGTGTGTGTGTGTCTGTTAAAAAAGAAAAAGAAAAGCCACAACAGCTGCATATTATATCCTACAAGCACTTAAAGTACCACATGCCAAAGAAACTGGACAGTTCCAAGTTAGCTTCGTTGCGGAGAAGAAATCAAAATGGGGAATTCCCAATTTGTACACCTGGAAAAGAAGAGAATGAGAGAGAAAGAGAGAGAGAAAGAGAGAGAGATTTTGTTCCTCATGCAATCAGGGAGGAAAGTGTTAGGCCTACGTCTGACACCCACCTGTGATAGCCCTTTCTAGGAACATCCATTGTGCAAGTCTTTTTTTCTAACCCAGGAAAGGAAATAAAATTTCTGTTCCTTCAGAGGGAAGTGTGGGGCAAATTCCACAGGGGATGGGTGTGCTCTTCACTTAAGACACTTTTCTTGAATACAGAGATCTCCCCATCCCACCCTCACCCACCCAGTAAAAACCAGAAAAAGTTTTGGCTTCAGGGAACAAATCAACCCAGATGCTGAAGCTTCAAGGGGAATAGACTCACTCCTAAGGTCAGCTTGGAGGACGATAAGGATGATATACTGCAAAGAGATGACCCTGTTCTTAAAGAAAATCAGGGCTGGATTTTGGAGCTCTGGATTGTCCCATCCACAGCAAACTCGGTCATGACCCTCCGAGCCAAGGGATTGGTGGTCTTGAGAAGTTCAGCTGCAGATGTTCGGATGCCCGAGGCCCCTTTGCCCCCTTTCTTCTGAAGGAGGGCCTTAAAGTCTTCATTTCTGCTTGAGGTTCTGCTTGTGCTGGGAGGGCATTCATTGCTCATAAGCCCTGTGATGTTCTTGGTGGGCATCTGGGAATTTGGCCGGTTGCCAAAAGAGTCGCTGGGCTCCTTCCAACCCAGTAACTTCCGCTTGGATCTGGGAAGAAATAGATGATGAGAAAAACTCTGGGAAGAAATAGAGGAATGACCACTATCACAACCAACACTGGGAGCCAGCTAGAAGCTAGGGAGGAATTTCTAATAGTACACAAACTACAAGCTATATTTACCCATCCATCCATCCATCCATCCATCCATCTATCCATCCATCCATCCATCCATCCATCCATCCATCCATCCATCCTCTGCAAGTGTTCAAAGTGGTGTACACAGTATAGCCTTCTCCATTTTTTCTCCCACAGCAATCGTTTTCTGAGCTAGGTTGGGCTGAGAGAGAGTGACAGGCTCGCAATTATCTAGCGGCCTTTGTCGGCTTAGGCTGAACTTGAACCTAATTTTCTTTGGATCGTCCAATTTTCTACCCATTATACCACACTGGTTCTAGCAAAATGGCAAACGACTTTTCACACATAGCAATCCCAAGCAAGGTTATTGTTCAAAATCAGTACCATAATTTGCTTTCACTTACATGGTTATTGTGTAAATATTGCAAGATTTAGTTGTTATTTTTTTAAAAAAACTGAACAATGATTTGTTTTCTAAAAACGTGATGAAGAGGATCTACCTGAGGGATAAGAGGAAATGTTTTAGTGGAGGTAAGATTATAGATTAATATTAGTATATTACTTTTTCATCAAAAGCATACCTATCTGAAAAGATGGAAAAGTACCATTTAAAACCAGTTACCCTTTTGGTGATTTGCTATTCCATTATTTCCAAAAATTAAAAAGGGGAAATATTCTGGAGAAAACATAGGTCAATGATGTAGATATTACTACACCAGTGTTGTAAAAAACAAGGGAATAAATATAGCACAATTTCATCTAATTCTAGAATTATCCTGTGAGTTTTCAATCTACTCCACTGATGATCCAATATGGCACAATATTATGGAAGTCACTGACCAGCTTAATTTCCTACTAAATGATGCTGGGTCTCATCAGTGTAATCATTCATCAGTTCAAGGTATGGTGCAAATCTCTTGCCCACATTTAATTTAAAAATAGATGTCTCTAGTCCAGTGGCGAATGACAGAGATTTTTCACCCAAATAAACGGGCATTCTCTTGCTGAAATCTCATAACCCTGGGAGAAGACATGGTCGTTTTAAAAGGCCAACTAAAATGGGTGGCAATAATGTAAGAAGCAAGGAAGCCATTGGAGGAGGTGGTGAGCATCTGGCAGCCCTTCAGAGGTTGATGAACATCAAATCCTAGCAGCCCTACTAAGCATGGCTGAAGATGTGGAATGCTGGGAATTACAGTCCAACAACATATAGAGTGCCACCAGTTGTTCATTCATGGAGATCCTAGATTCTAGACTAGAACCAAACCGCAAGGGTTACAAAGATCTGTGGAGGATTGCAAGAGCTGTACCAGAGATGGGATGATACTATCAGAGATGATGGGGCTGGAATTGTCAGTTCCTTTTTTGCAACTTTGGAGGAGGGGGGTGTCATAGCTTTCAAAAAAGTAACATAGGAGCTTAATGGAGGTTGACCATGTTTATGTGATTTCTCCATTTTTCTAAGGGGAAAATGGTTGTAATCTGGCAGTTTGTCACCAGATTTCACACATGTGATTGTGGGGGAGGGTGCTGGAGGCTGCAAAAAGTGAACAGGAGGAGGGTTGTCTGAGGCTCATAGACTGCCAAGTGTGAACAATTGTAAGATCTGCTAGAAGTATCTGCTGCACCTGAGCTGGGTAAGCTCAAAGAGCAACAAACAGGGGCAAAACAAAGATTTACTGAATCCAGATCTTTCTCCCACTCAAGGCAGACTGGCTGGTGGGAGGGGAGGTGGCACCAGGGATGTGGGTTGAGCAAGTGGCACAAAATAGTTCCTCAAGAGTTGTCTCCTGGGTGAACTCCCACCTGTGAATGACAGTAAATAAATCTTCTGTGGTTCGGGTTGTCACAAAGACATCATCGTCTTCCTCGGTTATTGACTCAGCTGTTTTGTCGCTTACAAAGCGTTTCTCTTTGCTCTTCAAACCCACCGAGTTCCCTAAGGAAAAATAAATGAGAATCTTGGAAAAAATAGGTTGCTTCCTACAAGTGAGATTCAGGCAGCAAGTAATACACTAAAAGAAACAGGGTATTTCCCAAACTAGAAAAGTAGACAGGAGCCAGTGATGGGGTATATCTGTGCGTAAAGGAAGGGGGAATAAAATAGGCTCCTTTGTTTGGAAGATACTGGTTTGAGTCTCTTCCCACCATCTTCAGGAAAACCATCCAGTTGACCACAAAATGGCAGAAAACAGTTTTCTTTCTCGCTTTGCTGCTATCTGGGGTTGCCTGGATTTTTGCAACCCAAATCTATAAGCCTTCCACCACCTACACCCTAAGTCTCCGATTAGTCCATGATTACATTAGCATACGTTAGTTGAGTTTCCTTTCCTAGACGTTGACCAGTGCCTAGAATCCCATAGGCAACAAGACCACTGCAGAGAATCCTGGGAGTTAATCCATATGGAAAGTACCCATATTGGGGAAGGCTGTGTTTAGCTGTTGTCTGTTTTGTTTTGTTTTGTTTTGGTTAAAGTGTTGCTTGAGTCTCACTAGTGTGGTCTGCAAACCCTTTAATATACACTGTCATCCATGGAGAGCACATGTGCTTCCAGACTATTTGAACTTCTACAAACTCTCAAGGAAGGACGCAGTAATCAAAGAGTTACTCCTTAACTGAGCTAAGGTCCCTCCCTCCCTCACCCTGCAGTAGAAAAAGCAAGAATGCTTACCTGAAATGTCTCCCCATGATACATCTGCACCAGTTGGGCTTACATTCATCTCACTGGCAACGGGGGACAGCACTTTGTAGGTGGTCAGTTCTGAGTAGGCAGAATCCTCATCTAGCATGATGACTGGGCTAGGAGGCAACCTCTGATCCCCAGGACAAGACCCTGGGTGGAGCGGGGAAGTCACCAACGGCAAGTAAAGCACACTAGGCTTCTTTGGGACAGGAGGTGGGACTTTAGATTTACGGCCCTCTCCCCCAGGCACCCCCTCGTCTAGAAGCTTGGCCTTCATCTGCTCATCCTCCTCCAAGCTATCCTCAGAGAGCCTCCGTACAGTGGAGAAAAATGTCCCTGTGGTGCCCTGTATGGGAGAAGTTGCCCCCTCAGCAGAGGGGGATTCTGTGGGGCTCCAGGTGCCTGCATCCCATAAATGTTCAGGCCTCCTGGCCACCACATAAATATTCTCTGCAGGGACCAACCCCTGTGGTGTCACTGGAGAAGTTGGAGAGCTCACAGGAGACTCCTCCTGGACTGGTGGAGTTTTATGCAACAGCATTGGTGGCCTTCGGGAGAGGGGTGGTTTTTCTGCCACCGGGGGCCGGATCTTCTTGCCAGGCTCCTCAACCGGCTCAGGACTGTCCAGGTTATCCTCAATCTCAGATCGGCTGATGGAACGCAAGCGGACAGAGCGCAGGTCCAGCTGGGTCACCATTGGCATAACTGGCTGCACTGGGCTCAGCTTTGGACCGATCTTGGCCCCAAAGGTAGAATCTGAGTGGTGTCGGCTTACTTTGGCTTTACTCTTGTGTGAGATCTTCAAGCCTGAGAGATCCAGATGAGTTGGTGGGGCGAACGGCAGGTCGAATGACAGCCGAGACTTGGGGCTTCGTTCCATAGGTGAGACTGGGGGTAGGGAGGACTTCCTCTCAGGCACCAGGGGCCTCGTCCGCCCACTCTGGTGAGGAGCATGACCCAGAACCATGGATGATGGGACAGTTGGAGTTGGAGTTTCTGATTGACTGGAGTAGCCACTGGAGGGAGACATTACCCCTGTCAACCTCCCGGGGGAGGAGGTTTTCAAACTCATGTCGGCACAGAGCTGAGATGGTGTGGTGGCCCGGGAGACAGAAGGAGAAGGGAGGGACTCGGAACTACCACATACCTTGGACAGTTCAATTACAGTCGTCCCAGTAGCAGTGCTGGATCCAGACAAGGAGCAATAAGGATCACCGGAATTCCATTCAGGCACATAACACTGCTGGGCATACGGCACGCTCTCCAATTCCCTTGTTGGATCACCTTGGACTTTGTTATGGACCTGCGCATCAGGCAGCAAACACAGACTTTTGGGTCTCTGGTCCTGGGGCAGTGCCTCATCACTCACCTCTGCTTTGCTCACTTGCCCTTCCTTGATCAAGGAGACACTGCGGGTGGGCGGACAGGGTTTCTTCTTTGCCTTCTTGAGAGAGATGCTCTTGGTCCGCTGTCGGCGTTGCTTTCGGGCCCCCTGCTCCACAGCCAGTGAGATGTTGTCTGTGCTTGTGCTCCCCTCAGAGCTGGCGCTGGGATAACTAAGGCCACAGGTCTCACTGCCCCCAATGTCCACCGAACACAGGGAGGCTGTGTCTGTAGGGACAGACAGCGACCTCTCACGGAACTTGCACAGGATTCTCTCCCTCTCCAGTTGGGAACACTCCTCCTCACTTGAGTTGACAAGGGCGCCAGGGGCTTTGGCTTCTCTTGTTCCACATCTTGAGCCTCCTTCAGCCTCTAGGGGGGACTCAGGAGAAGGGCAAAACGTCCCACACTCATTGATCCCAGCCATGCTGTCTTTGCTAATGAAGAAGGAAGAAGGTTGATCTGCTTCTGGAGTGTCCCTGGGTGTGCAAGGAGACAGCTGGGATGCATTCTCTGCTGCCACCTCATTTTGGCTCACAGAAGGGCTCATGTAGCAGAAGGAGGATGTGCTGCAACCAGGAGAAAAGGTGGAGTCCTCTTTGGGGCCATTACACAATGGACTAGCATACATCACCCTGGAGTTCTCAGCACGCCCTGCTTGTATCTGGCAACCTCGCCCCTGTAGGACTCCCCCAAGGTCACTGAATGTCTTTCGTAGCTGTGGCCGGGACTGAGGAGAACGGGCTTGGCGAGTGGAGCTCCTCCCACTGACCACATCTGGGACAAAATTGCAAGAGATCGACTCAGCTATGGTGGCTGGTGGGTTGAGGACGGGTCCATTGCTACTTCCTAGAAGAGAGTCAGAAAGGCAAGGATGACGCTGGGCAGAGAAGCTAGCTTTTGGCTTTGCTACACAGCCTGGCACGATTTAAAGAAACAAGACCCTTCTATTCAGCGTTATAGCTTTGGGGAGGGGTCTCCCTGCAATTTAGCCTAAAACATATATTTTAAAACGACACATGACAGTCACTGACCAGCAAAAACCGAAATAGTGAGGGAGCAACAGCCCCTCCAGTCGGTCACCTGGATCACGTAGAGAGAGGTGCGGGAAACCAATCACTGTCCGTCTTCGGCGCAACAAAGACTTGGGATTCATGGCGGTCTCTGTATTAAACAGGGAGTGCCGTGCACTGGCGTGCCTAGCGAATGGTTGCCCTGTAGCCAAGACAAAGAGACTCAATAGTCCAAGTGGAGACAAGGAAGCCCAGAAGATGACTACAGATAGGAGAAGGAGATGGCCTTAACTGAAGGAGCCCATCACAGATGGTGGGAATGGTGTCCTGAAGCAGAAATGGATTAACCTCTGCATAGGAAAGGGGTGTTGAGCCATATAAAAGGGCAGGAACAGCATTCATTCAGCATGCATTGTAAGACATTTCACCTAATTAATATGCAAACCAGGTTGGGTGCTCATTCAGTTTTCATGCTTCTCTGAATTACACAATTGCTTTCTTATCAAAAACTGTACATGTACAAAAAGGTGAGCTTAGGAAAAACAATACCCCTGCAAAATAATACTGTACACTAGGGCAAAAAGTGTGCCATAAGGTTGATTTCAGAGGAACATGTGTACCTAAATGTGCACAGTTTTTTTGCATAGTCTGGAAGGAAACACTGGCAAGCTTTAGGGTCAGCGGAATGGAAAGTCCTTGTCCCTGAAAAAATGCAACATGATTATAAAGCAAAGCAGAAAGATTTATCTACAGTATTCATACATGAAGGAATAGGAAAAAAAATTAGTCTGTTAAATAAGGATTATGTTTGCAGCACCCTCAACATGCCAGAATGTGGCCAGACCAGGACAGAAAGAGTTTCTCGCACGTTTCTCAGGCGTGGGGAAAAGAAAAGCAGAGAGACAAGAGATGCTTTGTCATGGCAATCAAATAGTGAAAAAAAGTGGCTATTTTATTGCAACATATAAACAAAGCACCATATGTCCTTGGCTGTCCTCAAATGATTCCATCTCTGTCGGCAATCAGTGCCACAGCCTGAACTTATTTACCTCCCAAATCCTAATTAGCAAGACAACGTAGACTTGGAACAGCTTCTTCTCTCACAATAGTTAATCCAGCTTCACCCCAGCTTGCTTTCCTACACTGAAAGCCATTTTATTTCTTCTGCTGGCCACCCTGAGAATTCTTCCTACAGGGTGAGCTATAAAATGCTAGAAAGGAAGAGGAGCTGAAGGTAGCTTCAAAGGAAGGAAGGAAGGAAGGAAGGAAGGAAGGAAGGAAGGAA